CACATTCAATTTCTCAGGAATCCTAAAAAAATCTTTGTACCAAACTGCCCCAATTAAGATAGAATGTGTTCTCTTACAAGTACTTTCTTTCGTGAAAAATTATGAAAAATAAAATAAAACACCACAAAAAAGTACCTACATAATTTTTTTAATTGATATAAATTAAAGTTTATCATAAATCTATCATGGATTATTTTTAAAAATTAGTTATTGCTAAAAAAAAATTAACTGCTACAAATTATTGGTTTTGTTGTAGTGAATTGACAGGTGCGTGGGTCCACAGGGACAGAAGAGTTCAAGTATCATTGTTCACGATACTTTGTATTTTATAATTTTCTTTCCTATTTGAAACAAGTTCACCAAATTGTATTTTCCCTTATGGACCCCACTTCCCAGAATCCCAGGAACCAATTTTTGTCGGGGTACCCGGCCCATAAAATATTTTGTGAAATGCATGCTATTTCTGGCTATAATGGTTTCAGTCACTAATTATCACAGCCTTCTATTGTTGTTAGTTTGGAAGTTGGAAACACTATTAAGCTTGAAATGAATGTATGGTTATCAACATGCTCCTGCAGGCATGGTCATTTACAAGTTACGCTCTTAATTCAACTCACATCAGCTAGCATATATATTTATTTGAGTTGAACTCAGGATACGGCAGAGCAGGTTACTTTCCTTCAATCTTATTGTACAATATTTATAAAGGGTTTGCAACTTAGTTGTTACTGCAGAAGTTGCAAATGTGCAGTTCACATCATATATATATATATATATATATATATATATATATATATATATATATATATATATATAAATTAAACAAAACTTTTTTTTGTTAAGTCAGTTGCAAAGAGGAAATATTGCAACAGCAGAAGTATTTTTCCTATTTATAAATTTAAATTATCATTTTTCAATCATCATTTTCTTGTTGTACCATGTTTTTCTCTATTAAGTACTATAATGTGATGAAGGGTATAATGGGATATTGATCATGTTGTCACGGATTCTAAAAAAACTTACTGGTATGTTAGGGGGGTGTGGGTGCAAAAAATCTGTCAAAATATCACGGCGGCAAATTTGTTGTAAGTGGTAACGAGTTTCATCACGTGGTACGAAATCTTAGGCCACCAAACTTGTTGGCCTATCGTTTCATGACACACGATACAAAATTTTAAAAATTTTATCGTAAAATTTAAGGTTATAACTTTTGACTCGGGTATCTGAATAAGATAATTTTTGTTTATTTCACGTAATTTTTCGATATTTACGAACTGGCGAGTTCTAGGAGGGGATATGCACAATTTTTTTCCAAAAATATACTTCATTATATCTCGTTTGACATATTTTATCTCTGTGAATGAAGTTATTTAATTCTTATTCTTATTTTCAATTTCCAACACTAACAAGTAATGTTTGAGGAATTTTTTAGTGTGTACATTGAAAAAAGTTACATGAATAAAAAACATATCATCCAATTTGAATACCTAAGTCAAATATTATAGCTTTCTAAAAATTAGTTGATTGGTTTGACTATATACTTGCAGTCACTAATAGCGAGACATTTGACACTTGCTGTCACTCACTGTAAGTTTGCCACCGGGTGTTTTGGCAAAAAAATTTGCCCCCATGATACACCGATAAATTTTTTTGGAATCCGTGGCAACAGGGTGAATGTCGGGTATAATGTATGGATTTATCATCTATCATTTAACATGACCACAAAAATTTTCCTACACACACAACATTTTGTGGGGCCCGCGGCAAAAAAAAAAAAAAAACTTTGGCACGCAAAACGAATCTCTATAACATAACACAATCACTTTTCCTACAACATAACTCTTATAAAACCTATAATGTATTCACTAAATGGCAGCAATAAAGTAGCTTCACTTTATAATGTTGCAAGACGCTGTCTAGAATAACTCTTTCATGGGCTGGGGAAAACTGTGGTTTTAATTAGCTGTATGCGAGACATTCTCAAGTAAAATTAATAAATAAACATCGCATTTAATTTGTGTGGCTCCCTCATCACTGGTTGTAGCGACAGACAATGTATCATTGCAGTATGTCTCAATTGGTTGTCTGAAATCTGAATGATTTGCTCAATTATTGTTGTCTGCTCAAATTCTCTCCGTAAAAAAACTATGTGTGCATCTATAGACTATAATTCATATGGCAAAGATCAACAGGTATTCGTTTAATTTTTCGTGGTCACGATGTAACGTCAGTCACCTAAAATTACTCATACTTTAAATAAGTAAAATCTAGTTCATGTATAGCTTTTTGAACCTTATAATCTTTTATTAATAATTAATTATTAAATTAACTTTTATTGTAAATTATTTTAAAAATTTAACCTCTTCAAAAAAATATAACATCAATCTGTCTCTGTTTGACCGTTGATCATCAAGTTTACCCGAGTAGACTCCTCCCTACCCTATTTTTTGAAAATTTATACCTACCCAGATAGGAGATGTATACCCAGTTAAACTATGTTATATAAGAATCTGAGAAAAATAAATACAGCAACAATTAATAATCAGCATAGGTAGTTGATCAATTTGAGTGGTTGATGATTCTCCTATTCCCAGCTCTGTGTTCAGTCCCTCCACTTTTTGCTTCAACTCCTCCTTATATGCATCTTCTTTCTCGCTGGATTCTTTGGTTCCAGTCTCTTCTTTCACTCTCAGGTTTTCCTTCTCAATCATAATTACATTCTTCAATATTTTAAGCTTGTTTTTCTTAGATTTTGTTTTGTTGGAAAAATATTCAAAGTAAGAGATCGCTGAGAATTTGCAGGAAGATGAATATGATCTGAGCTTTGAGGCCGAGGATGAAGGCGAGTTTGCTTGAAAAATCGATGAAGGAAGAAGACGGAGTACCGTTTGTGATTTCTTTTCCGGTTTGACATAATGCAATGTTTATGAAATTAGTTGGTTGGATAATTGATTTCGGTGAATTTACTATGTTAATATTTTGATTTCATAGCCGTTTATGAAAAGGATCACAATGCTCAAATTTATTATTTCATTGTTTTTAGATAGGATCACTGTTAAGCAATTTTTTCAAAATAATTCAAGCAATTTATTATTTACCCGGGTACACCCCTACCTACCCGGGTAAATAATTCAAACAATTTTTCCGATATCAAGAAATATACCCGGGTACATCTCTCCTATCCAGATAGGCATAAATTTTCAAAAAATACCCGGGTAGGGAGGAGTGTACCCGGGTAGCTTGGTGGTCAACAGTTAAACAGGGGCAGATTGGTGTTATGTTTTTTGAGGAAGTTAAATTTTTGAAATAATTTATAACGAAGGTCAATTTGATAATTAATTATTAATAAAAGGTTACAAGGGTCAAAAAGCCCTGAATGTATAGTTTCCCTTTCTCTTTGTTCCCTGTGGGGTCCTACCTTTTCTCTCACCATATTTTAAAAGCTTTATTAAGCACATGTTTTTACCAAGGGGATTACTTCTATCATGTAGCATGAGAAAAGTTTTCTCATGTTAAAAGATAAATAAAGTGAGTCTCATCAACTTTTAGGAAGAAAAAAAAAAAAAAGACACATTTTTCGAAAAAAGAGTGACATGAGAGATCATCTCATGCGATAAGAGTATGATTTTCCTTTTACTAATGTGTCATCAATGTAGAGCAACATGAAGTTCCCAAATCTCCTCTTTTTTGAGTCCTTTAAGCAACCAAGTGGATTTGTTTATCCATTGTTAAATTGGATTTGTTTACTATTTGCTTTCTCCTTATAGGCTGTCCATAGTGGTTGCAATCAGATGCATCCCGAGACATTAAAATTTCTTTATATTTGGTCCATAGACATGAAATGTTTGCAAACTCCTATCCTAATCGACTTTTCATTCCTATCGAAGATTTACTCAATAAGCAACTTTATAAGTTGATGTGAGTGAAAACTGAAAATAGAGTTACTAAAGTTAGGCCTTTAAACTTCCATTAATTAGCAAGTTGAATTTGTGCTTCCTACGTAACAGAAAAAAAAACACTTTTAATTAACATTATGAATCCAAGGATATGAAAAGTTCAAACAGGCTATCCTACCACTCTTTCCTTTATCTCTACTCTAAAAAACGGAAAGGATAAGCTTTTGTAACTTAAAAGTAATAACTAACACGAAAAATAATAAAGATGATTAAAGTGAAGCTTCAATCATATTTGTCTTCGGTCCAAGTAGGTGAACCTCAAGCCGAGCTTTAATTCGTGGGTCCAACTATCACTCTCATCCTTGCATCTTCATCTCCATTTCACTGTCAGCTTCGTTATCATATTACTGTTTTTCATAGTCATCCCAACCCACATGTCATCACTCATCTCATAAGGGTATCAAGCAAATGAAATACCCTCCATCGGTCCAACACAACACCTTGCTTTTCGCACGAACCCACTACTCTAAATTCTTATATATTTGTTATCAAATCCATAGTTGACCCAGCATATAATTGACAATTTTTTTTTTTTTAATACAAATATAGGAAGGGTCAAACCAGGATTATATAATTACTTGAGTGATGACATTGGCAAGAGAAGCGTAAGCAGTTTAAGATACAGTCATATCTGAGTTTGTTTTCACCCGTAAGTAATTTAAATTAATTTTAAGGTTATTAAAGTTATTGAATGCAGAGACGAGGATCGTGGATATCGTTTTCTTCCATTATATTTTGTCTTTACTAATGTTTCTCTCAACAGGTATGCCAGAGAAACAGAAAGGACATGTTACACATGGAAAATCCCAGAAAGGGGAAGTGCCCTTGTCTTTTGTCACCTTCAATCAATCTCTCTCTCTCTCTCTCTCTCACACACACACACACACACGCACACGCTACTAGCTAACTCTTTCTTCCAGCATATGCAAACACAAGAATAACAAGCGACCTTAGTTTTTCCTCTCCCTGTCACGCATCACAAAATTGTCTTGATCTTTTCATGTCGGTTTATTTCTGAACCACAAAGAGATCACCTTTTATATAATGAAAGGCATAACATCTTGTTACAACGAACATGCCATTAAAGTGTCCGATTCATATTGTTCAAGGCCTTCAAACCAGGTCTATCTCTGTCCAAAACTCACCCCTTCCATCAGAGATTCAGTTACCTGCATATACAAAGTCAACTTGATCTCAAAGCAAAAACAACTTCTCATCGCGATAACTTGGACCAAGAGACTCAAAGGCCAAGGCTTCGCCATAAACATCACCAATAACACCCCTTCTGGATATTCTCCCTCTAAATTCAATGCCAATCTCTCCCAGCAATTGCGAAAGAACAAAGGCACCGAAACATTCAATTCCCACAACTTAGAATTTCAAGTCTTGTGGGATCTCTCTGCTGCTAAGTACGACGATGGACCAGAGCCAGTTGGTGGGTTTTACGTCGTCGTTTTGGTGGACTCGGAGCTGGGCTTACACCTTGGAGACAAGGATGAAGAATCATTGGACTTGAACGTGAATGCAGGAATGGCGGTGGCAAATTTCTCAATGGTTTCTAGGAGCGAGAGATTTTCTGGCAATAATGTTTATGCAACAAAGGCAAAATTTTCAGAGACAGGAATTGTTCATGATATATTGATAAAGTGTGGTTTGGAAGAGGAGGAAAAGTCCAAGAGCCATGTCTTGTCTGTGTGTATGGACAAGAATACAATTTTCGAGGTGAAGAGGTTAAGGTGGAATTTTCGTGGGAACCAAACAATTTTTGTTGATGGTTTGGTGGTGGATATGATGTGGGATGTTCATGATTGGCTTTTCAACCCAACCTCAGCCTCTGCGGTGTTCTTGTTCAGGACAAGGAGTGGCCTTGACAGTAGGTTGTGGTTGGAGGAGAAAAGTTTGCAGACACATAAGGATCATGACAGAATTGGGTTTTCTTTGTTGATATGTGCTTGTAAGAACCCTGATTGATTCAATCTTTTTGGTTCTCTTGTTCTTTTTCTGGAATTGTTTTCCCTTGTAATTTCATCTGGGAAAAACTGACACCTACTCAGATTTTTTTTCTTCTTAGTTCATCTCCGTGATAAGATTTTTCTTTTGGTCATGTCCGTTATTGAAATAATTGATGAAGATTTTAAAGATAATTATGTGTATATTTTTCTTACTATTAAATTATTTTTATACGAAACGATTTTACTCGAGGCCGTGTACCATTCTTCTAAAAAACTAGTTAAGTTTTTACCTGTGTTGCGTGTTAAAACGCAAGTAAAAACTGTCTTTGGTAAAAGTTAATAAAAATGTCGTGTAAAAACGTAAAAATGATAAAAACGTTACCGTTTTTACTAATAATTTTTTTTAAAAAAGATTTACAAAAAAAGAAATTAAAAAAAACTCAATTTTTGTTTTTCTCAAATCACATTCACAATATCTTGATATCTTTTTGTTTGGATATGTCTTTTATAATTATGTCTTATAAAGCTGCAATCTTATTATAAGTTATGCTATGAGAATCGTTTTGTGTTTTTGGATCATTGTGTGTATGAAAAGAAGTGGAACTATATCCTAATAAGTAAAGTAATCTATATCCTGATAAGTAATGATCCAAAATCTGCGGAGTGTTTAAAACAGTTAGAGCATATTGGTAATTATCCATTATTTCTTGCTTGTTAGTTATCACTGTTTATAATTTTGATACTTGGTTATAAAAAAAATGTTTTACTTTTAGATAGATAAGTGGCTCAACACACATGTTCATTATGAGATATTTTTTTTACATGCATATATATATATATAATTTTATATCTTGATCTTAAGTAGTAGAAAGTAAAAACTTTAGTGTCGTTTTTACATTTTATGTTTTTACCACCTTTTTTCGTTTATACGTAAAAATTCGAGTAGGACAACGTTGCTGTGTACAGTACAATTTAATGATTTTGCACATTTTTTGGTAATTAATGGTGATAGCTGGACGTCTGGACATGCGCTTGCCGCTTGGGGTACTTGAGGTGGCAAAACTGGAGTTACTATTTGAAATTATGCAAGGCACGTTTCAATTTCAATGCAATTTATGTTTGGTTTTGGGACTCCTTGCTCCTTAATTAGTTGAATCTAATTCTTTATTATGTAGATTTATATATATGAGACAATTATACTGACAACTCATAAATCTTGAATTTAGAACTTCTAATCAAAATTTCGCTTAATTGATAGCTCTCAGGTGACTAGTTCAATTTAGAACATGTTCTATATGAAACGCCAAGTCCCATAAGTATTTTAGTTTATGTTTGGTATGGGAAAAATAAAGGATTGACAATAATGTTTTACAACTTTATTTTACATTCACAGAAATATCTATCCCCTCATAGAGATGCAAAAATGATTATCATAAACAAGTTGAAATGAGTGACTTTTTTTTCCAGATAATAATAATTAATTTGAGGTAGGATCCTTTGACACCGGTATCAAATTTGAAGTTTGACACCTCATCTGAGAGCCGTTAGATCGAAAAAAATCAATGATATAACATGCTTACAAATCAGAGTCGTTGATCTTTTTCGATCTAACGGCTCTCAGATGAGGTGTCAAACTTCAAATTTGACACCGGTGTCAAAGGATCCTACCTCAATTAATTTATGTCTGTTTTCTGTTTTAAATATAATAATGGAACAAAAGACAGATTCTTTGGCAAAATATAGAGTTGAATAACAATCAATCTATTTGGACTCATTATGTAAAGGTTAATTTTGCGTTTCAACTTTATTCTACCTTCTAAATATACCTCGCGCTCTTGTGAAGTGAAGAGATTTCTTAAATGGCATTGTAAGTATCTTTTGCTTTTGTATTAATTTTTTTTTTTTTTATATATCTTTTGCTTTTGGTCTTGCAGTACATAGCAGGGGCATTGAGAGGCCTGATGTTTTTGTCCTCCCTCTACGGACTGCTTCGTGGGCTTTTTAAAATTCTCCAAATCAAACACGAAGTGGATGAAAAAACGTAAATAGCTATTTCAACCCAACAATAACCAATATGTGAAATATTTTTGGTTTGAAGTTGTTAATTGTGTGTAGATTAAAATTATAAGTATGGTTTGATCTATACTTAAAATACAAAAGGCTTGACTTAGACTAATTAGTCTGTTTAAGTTTATTATGCATTTAATAATTAAAAAATAATTAAAATAATATTATTTTATTATACAAAATTATTAAAATAATAATTTTATTTAATTTATTTAAAATAAATAATATGATATAGGCCGATATGTAAGCTTATAAGCTGAGTCTCACAAAAAAAAATAATCTATGATCTGCTTTTTAAAAATGTTTTTTTAAAAGTTTCAGCATGTTCTATTTTATTATATATAATAGGTCAAATCTGTTCTGATATAAGTCGGATCACAGATCCCTAATAAGTCATCTAACTCATTTACACCCAAAGTCCGATTAATTATTCCAATATCGTCGGTTGACCAAATTGTAAATTCCTAATAAGTCGTCTAACCCATTTATACCCCTAAGTCCAATAGATTATTACAATGTTGTCAGTTGATGAAGGCTAAGGGTGTAGATGAGGGAAATAACCTATGAGAGCTGTTAGTTGTAGATTTTACTTAAATAAACAATCCATATTCTCTGTTATTGGGCTGAATATAGCGGAAATTGCATGTGAATTGGTCTTAGATGCAAAGAATAGGCCCATTGTGGTGTAAGAGGTAATTAATGGCAGAAATTTTCCTTACACTTTTTATCATATTTTCTCAGGAAATACCAGGAGGAAAAAAAGGGCTGAAGTTTGTGGAGGATCTGGGCTGTGAATGAGCATTTTGGATGGACGGACGATAACGTTTGGGAGTGATAGTTTTAAGAAAAAAAAATTCAGTTTAGCATAGACATTTATCATTTTTATTTTTGTTTACAAGTTCTCGAGAGCTTGAGTTTATCTGAAGTTTTCATTTTGTAATTGGCACATACAAGATGAAGCTCTTGGTGGGAGTCAAGATCAAGTCTTCTTCAAGTGTCAATTGTAGCTTTGCTTAGATTCCTGATTTTTTTTAGTTTTGTAATTCAAGACATATAATTAAATAGTATTTATTAAATAGTTATTATTTAAACTCTTACTATTATTTTCTTATTTTGCAAGACATATAATATAATTCTTTCATGCTAATTTAAAATTTTATCTAACTTAATTTATTATTTAATATATTATATAATATTAAAATATATATCTAATTACCACCAGTTCAATCACGCCAAATTATAGTAGACCATGATCCTCTGTCTTTTCAATAATTACTTCAGTTTTAAGAGCATCGATTCATAATCTGATCCGATCGGCTAAGGGACCTAAAAAAAAGTAGGAACCAATCTTTCAAAATATTCAAATTAAAAAAGTTGTGTTTTCTATAACCATTATTTGAACTAGGCAAAAAAACAAAATTAGTATCAAACTGGTCAATCCGCTTTAATTGATTATAGAAGTGAAGAACGAAAATGTTTAAGATTTTAAAAGTTCATAAGTGAGGTTCAATAGGGATTTCATGTATACACACATTAATACCATTTTAGATTGGCCTCACAGCCCAAGGTTATAGGTTAAACCCAAATAGTTCGTTTGATACATAAGTTAGGATAAGTACGAATAAGATAAAGGGGTAGGATAATAATAGTATAGCATATGAGTCAGATAAATTCATATTTTATCATGTGTTTAAAGTGGACCAGATGAGTAGTCTGATAAGATAATAGTCTTGTATCTTGTGTTTGATGTGAATCAGATTGCATCAGGTTATGCTTTAAATAGACAAAAATACCTTCAACAATAAATTTTTATATTATTTGATTTTAAAAAAATAATTTATTTATACATTAATTTTATTTTAAGATTGATTAATGTAAATTATTCATAATCAATAGCTCTTACTTAATAATTTATAATTTTTCATAATTTGTAACTCAATAATATATTAAATTTAAAATTATACACAGTAATTAATAAAATCACAAAATTGATTCTTCACTTCTTTTTTATCACATTTCGGCGGATAAATTTTCACTTTGGGTAAAAAGAAAAAGAGAAAAAAAATGCACAAAAGGAAACTAGATTTTTTATAAAAAAAAAAGAAAAGAAAAGAAAACAATGGCAGAAGTCGTCCATCTTCCTCCTCGATGACGAAGTAGCAAAGAGTCAAAAAGGGGTTATGCTTCTTCAAAATGCAGAAGTTTTTCTGCTATATTATTATTCTTCAATAAACCAAAGTCTGCCTTTCACATCCTTCTACAAAGCCTTTTTAATCAGGAAATACAGAAAGTAAACAACAATAAAGGACTATCAATGGTCTTAAAATTGACACAAAACAGAAATAAAGCTGATACAAAACAGAAATAAAACTGACTCAAAACAGAAATAATCATAAACCAAACATAAAGACATGCAAACTGAAACGTCCGCAATTATTAAAATTCATAAAAGGCCTTAAAACCCCTTTAAATGACAGCTATGATGACTTATGGTGACTCAAGTGCATCACCCTCCCCTACCAAGAGAAGATTCGTCCTCGAATCTGCATTGTCTTCATCTGCCATGTCACCTTCATCTTCGGCACAGTATGAGGATAAATCTGCAACATTAAAAGTGTAGACTGAAGCCCCCTTCAGCCCAGTATGGGGATAAATCTTCATCACCTTCACCTTCATCTGCCATTGTTAGGAATGTGGCTTCCATACTCAAGAGGGGGGTGAATTGAGTATTACAAGATTTTCGCTAAAATCCCCTTCTAGTTTCTAAATAATCATTTCAAACAAACTTTGATATGTAGAAAGCTAATCAATATATTCAGACAATCCATAATATATAATATATCACAATTATAGAACTTATACTAGCACATACAAGATATCAAAGAAGCAATTAAAGTGATAGAAATAAAGAGTTTAGAGTTTAGAAAATTGCAAACTCAATATATCCTGGTT